AAAAAAAAAAAAAAAAAAAAAGGGCTCAGCACAAGAATGCATGCAGAGCAAAGGAATGAACAGCACCACAAAAACTTAACATAATGACAGCATTTAATTCATAACTATAGATAATTACACTGAAAGTCAATGGATTAAATACATGAGTGAAGTGACAGAGAGTGGCAGAATGGATAAGAAAATAAGACTCTTCAATATGCTGCCTGCAAGAGACACACCTTACACACAAAGACAAAAACAGACTAAGAGTTAAAGGATAGAAAAAAATATACCAAGCTAATTACAATAAAAAACAAGCATGAGAGGCAACACTAATCTCTGATAAAATAAACTTTAAGGCAAAAACCAGCATAAAAGATCAAGAAGGACACTTTCTCATGATTAAAGGGTCAACTGAGCAAGATATCATAACCATAATAAATATTTACACTCCCAATGAAAAAGCACCAAGGTATATAAAGCAAATCCTATTAGAATTGAAGAAAGAAATAGCTAAATCTACTATTATAGTGGGGGATTTTAATATACCACTTTCAAAAAGGGATAGAACAACCAGAAAGAAACTCGACAAAGTTACAGAGGAACTAAACAGCACAATTAGCCAACTTGAACTCATAGACGTGTACAGAGCATTCAACCCAACAATAGTACAATATACATTCTTTTTCAATGCACATGGAACATTCTTCAGAATTGACCATGTGTTAGGTCACAAAGCAAGTGTCCATAAATTTACAAACATCAAAATACTGCAAAGCACCTTTTCAGACTGCAATACTATAAAACTAGAAATAACAATAAAAAGACCAAGGAAATAAAGTTGAATACATGGAAACTGAATAACACCCTACTGAAAAGCGACTGGATAATAGAAATTAAATGTGAATTCACAAAGTTCCTAGAAACAAATGAGAACAAAAACACAACATACCAAAATCTTTGGGACATGGCAAAAGCAGTGCTGAGAGGACAACTTATTGCGATAAATACTCACATCCAAAAAGAAAAAAGAACCAAAATCAACAATTAACACAGCATCTACAACAACTAGAAAGAGACCAACAGAGGGAATCTACGGTCACCAAAAAAAAGAAATAGTTAAGATTAGAGCAGAAATAAATGAGATAGAAAACAGAAAAACTATAGAAAGAATCAACAGGACAAGAAGTTGGTTCTTTGAAAGGATTAATACAATTGACAAACCATTAGCAAACCTAACAAAAGAAAAGAGGGAGAAGACACAAATAATACATTAGAAAAATGGACGATGTCACAATGGGACCAAAGGAAATCAAAAGGATAATAACAGAATACTATGAAGAGTTGTACTCCAACAAATTTGAAAACTTATCAGAGATGGATACATTTTTAGAAAAACACGACCTACCTAAACTTACACAGAGTGAAGTAGAAAACTGGAACAGACCCATAACAAAAGAAGAAATTGATCAGTTGATAAAAAAAACTCTGAAGTGAAAAAAGTTCAGGTCCAGATGTCACTCATGAGTTCTACCAAACATTCAGGGAAGAGGGGTCACCAATTCTACTCACATTATTCAAGAATATAGAAGAGGATGGAAAACTTTCTAATACATTTTATGAAGTCAGCATAACCCTCATACCAAAACCAGGGAAGGACATCACTAAAAAAGAAAATTATAGAACAAGATCTCTCATGAACATAAATGCAAAAATTCTCAACAAAATCCTAGCCAACAGAATCCAACAGCACATCAAAAAAATAATACATCATGACCAAATGGGATTCAAATCACAGATGCAAGGATGATTCAACATTAGAAAAACAATCAATGTAATCCACCATATAAATAAGAAAAAAGAAAAGAATCACATGATCATATGATTGATGCAGAAAAGGCATTAGACAAAATCCAACATCCATTTCTGATAAAAACACTCAACAAAGTAGGAATTGAAGGGAAATTCCTCAACATAATCAAGAGTATATATACCAAACCAGCAGCCTACATTACTCTCAATGAAAAGAAATTGAAAGCGTTCCCTCTGTGAACATAAACCACATAAAGATGCCCTTTGTCATCACTCCTATTCAATATTGTGCTAGAAGTCTTAGCCAGAGCTATACAGCAAGATAGGGAAATTAAAGGCATCCAAATTGGCAAAGAGGAAATAAAACTCTCTGTTTTTGGAGATGATATGATCCT